ATTGTGAATATACTTTATCATTGTATAATCATTTTAATAAATCTCTTTTATTTGGTATTGGGTACCTAATCCATTGTAGTACATCATTGAGTGGTTTGTAATTGATTACTAATAGCGGTACTCCTCTTTCTTTTTCTGCTTGATTATTTACATAGAAAGTCGAACAACTCCAAAAGGATTTGGATGGCCTTATTAAGTTTTTCTTAAGTAAATCATTTATTTCTTGCTTATAGGTTTCTACTAATTCTTTGTTCATTTGGATAGGTCATGCTTTAGTTGGTATTTTTTTCTCACTGAATTCTTTTATATATGGGAGCTCAACAGTATGTTGTTTTCTCTCCCAAAAAGCATTTGGTAATTCTGAACATATTTGTCCTAGTAAATTGTTTTCGATATTTTTTTATCTTATCTTTTATATATTGCGTATTAAGTTGTTCTTCTATTTTTTTTGTAGGTTATTTCTTCTTGTAAATGTTGAATATGAGTTTGTTTTCCTTTTATTAAATTAATTGTTTAATGGATAGTATTTTGCTGAAGACTAAGGATTTCTTTAGTTTTCATTGGAGATAAAAAGTTAAATAATAACTTTGTTCCTACTACTTTTGTTGTCCTAATATAAGTTCTTGTGTCAAGTTTTTTACTAAAATAAATTGATTCTTAAAACAATATCCTTGATTACATATTTTTGCACACGGTAACTTATATTGTACCTTTAAATTGCTACCATTAGCACTGCTTAATTTTTCGGTGGTTTTTTCATAATATTTTGTTGGAATAATTCATTCACGGATGCAGTTATAATCTGCACCAGTGTCCATTAGAGCAATTATATCTTAAAATCATGTCCTCTGTGTAAAGTAATATTTGTATACCATTTTTTATAGTTAATTTTATTAATTAGTTTTATATAATCTTTATTATCCTCTTGTTTTATCTCATTGTTATTTTCTAGATTTTGATTACTAGATGATGCTTGAGAATAATTCTTTGATTCGATTAAAGATAATTTTGCATCTCTTGTTGA